TCTAGCTCTCGCCCACGCACCAATGGAATGAGTCAAAAAGATGTGAACCACGTGAAAGCTGGTCCCGTAAGAGACAAAGGAAAATATCGAATCCTCCAAGCTTCATCCGGCGCGGCTCTCCAAGTCGCATTAAGTACCGAATCGACGCGTGCTCTATGGCTAGTATCATCTTGACCGTAAAACTTGGTTAAATCCGTTGGAGGCTTCACCCTTGGAGGTAACGCCACTCTGCTGTACCACTGGGGTAAGGAGACTTGTATGAATAGGATTGATTTTTTGGCTTCAAGCGAACTGATTCTGCATCATATCGGCCATCCTGTGCATCAAAACATCAATGCCTCAATCCGATTTTTCCTTGTACTTGTACTCCGTAAGGCAATCTGAAACACTCCTATACCTTGGATTTGGCATTGATAGCATTGTAATCAAGAAATTCTTGATACCCATCTCCATACATATTATTCTCGCAATCTGCTTGATGTTTGGAGAAACTCTATAAGTCGAAGGTGGCACTTCTCCTGTGGTACCAAATGTTACCCGGCCATAGGTGGGATGTGATTGCTTTTCGGTGTGAGTCAATCCACCTATATTTGCAATCGATGGTCCTTCTTTTCCAGCAAAGCTTCTCTTGATGCTTTGGAACATTGAAAAGTGTCGGTCCACCGACCGGGCCAACATTTTCTTCAAAGTACTTATCAACCATTGGACCAAAAGTATTGATCATGATTGCCCGAAAGGTATTCGAAAAGTCGTGTGATGGTTTGTCATGGTTTCTCCCATAGCTTTATAAACCGTGGCTGCCATCTTCTCGAGCATCCTCCTCTTGATGTAATCGGTTTGATGTGGAAGAAGAACCCTTGGCATTGACCGCTTTTGAAACACTTTATTGCTCTTGTTTTTAGAAAAGACATCAAACACTTCACATTGGTATTGCTCACATGCTTGTAGCACTAAATCCTGTAATTATCTCTGCAATTTCGCCATGCTCACATCCAGAACATGATCATTGTTGATCTCAAACGCCATTTTGAACTAACAGATTGTCCCACCGGGCGTGCCAAAAAGTATGTTGACACAAAATGTGACGCACTGTGCCCCACACATAGCAAGCCAGAAAGCGTAGCTTCAATTGGGTGCCCGGGTGCTTAGTGATCCAGAAACGTGCCAGTCAGTTTGACCTGAAAAAACTAACAAGGGATAAACAGTTAAATGCCAAACCGGAACATGTCGGGTGAGACCAGACAATTCCATATATACGGCCCTGAAGCCACTTACAATGACATACAGCTATAGGAAGCTATCTGTCAGCAAGTTTATAAACCATTCAGCTAATCGTAAGATGAGCATACGTAAAGATCCGATTGCCGAATGCATGTGCATGGGAAGACATGTTTGAACAAGTGAAATTAATCATGAGTTAATGCATAACCAAGCTCAAAGAATCCAAATTTTGTTTGGGGTCCATGAAGAAGGAACGTACAAATAAACACGATTAAACTAATCTAAAACCTCATGATCGCGCCAGACGACACCTAGTTTCGTCAAAGCTTAAACGTAATTAACATGCATGAACCCACGACATGTGACAATCTAGATTAAAATAATTCAGCCATTACGAGCATGTTATCTATTTGCAAAGGTAATACGAAAGTAATGATCATTGAAGCACGAATAAAATCATAAGAGAGGGCCGAACAATATCAATCTAGATTGGGCAGAAGTGTGTTACAAATATATAAAATATTTAAAACATGCAACACAGGATAACTTAATGAATCTATTTAGATTTTGCCGTATCTAATAGAGCCGATAACTGTCTTGCCTTCACTAAGCATATTGAGCAAACGCCTACCGTACGGTATCTACTCATAAACAACGCATAAGCAAAGACTTCTTGCTTGTCAAACAAAGATCCGCCGCACGATCATTGAAAACAAACAAGACTACTTGCATCACGTCTAAATCCACCGCATGATACTAAACATGATAACAAGGTTGTCGGAACTTACGGAGGTCGACGGATCGATGACTCCTCTCGAAGAACTCGACGACACGACAAAAGGACTCGAAAGTTGGCACGGGGCCGGTTGTATTGATTTGGTTGTGAACCCCTATTACAATGGTCGAGGGTCAATATTTATATCCTAGACAAAACACGAGTCCTAAAAGACTACGACTTACAAAGGAACTCTTAAACAAACTTGGAAACTACGATTCCTTGCCCTAAACCCTCAGAGTCCTTTATTATTACGACTTTCATCTTTTCGATCGGCTTTGCTTGCCATCTTCTGCTTTCCCGAATGGAGTCACCACCTTCTGAAGTAACCGACCGCACAAGCATTTAGCCGACCGCTCGTTTTGTTTGCCGAATGTCCTTCTTCCTGTATGCGGGTCCACCTGTCATCTTCCGAAGTCGACCAAAATCCAGTGTTAACACAAACAATAGTTTGGCAATGCTCTTATGAAGCATAAAGTGGAGCATATATCAGATATTTTTGAAAATGAGAGGAGTAACTTAAAGTTATAAACTAGAAGTTGTGTTTACTAATAGTAAACTAAATGTTGTATACTATCGAGCTAAAATCTACGAGGATGCATGTGGATTCTAGTTTAGTGTGTACTTGTTGGATAGAAATAAAATAAAACTCCTCCATTCTCGTGAAGAGAATACCTCATGAAGATCTATATAGTTCCTAAAGAATATAAATCGCAACAAATAGAAATTAAATCTTATACAAAGTATTAAGAAGTCTAAGCTATAATATATTCTTGAATGAATATTGAAGTCTCAAGAAAAACATGTCCTAGAAGAAATAGTCATCGAATGACTTTACAGTGAATAATACTATCTCATTGTGTATATCACATAATAATCTCTTGTGTAGTAGAGAATATATCTCATAAAAGAAAAATGTTATTCACTAAGAACGAGAACTTCCTTGAAGGATTTAATCCATGAAGGATTTACAAGTCGATTCTTGAAAAGCATCATTAATCCCTGAAGTGAATATAGACCCGAAAGAAAGCAAATGAGGAATCATAAATACCATGAATGTGTCATACAAACACTCAGAAAGTGTATATCGTAAAGCTAGCAATGAAGTTTTGGTATCCTCTAAATATTATAGAAGGTATGAGAATAATGGTCATTTTGGCAATTGAATTATCCCCTAAATGTCAAATGCAAGATTGTATTTATTATTTAGAGGTACAATCAAAATCCTGAACATTTATGAAAAATATAATTTGGAAATCCACTAAATAAGAATTAGAGAAGTATTCAAACTCTAGTATAAGATTTGATGCACTATCTAGAAGATATTGAATATTGTAACTTATTTACTTCCATAATCCTCTAAAAGGATTTATTAATAAATTTTATTTGTTTTGCATAACTAATAAGTGGTTATTTATGCATGAAGCATATTGCTCTTGTTTATTCATATTATAATTCATTAAAGAATGGTAAGTCAACATTTTGAAAGATATAGTATTATGGTACTGCATACCATTATTAAGCACATATTTATGAAAAGTGTGGACTGAACAATAAAATTTAAAGGTTGGCTTTATGAGGAGTAGCAATTTGAGTAAATCTACTTTGAAGGTAATTAAAACTACTAAAATTACAAAGATCAAGTAGATCATATTTGCTAAAACATTGAAGTTTATGCATAAATCATGAAGATAAATATCTATTCATGAAGAATGGAATATCCTGAAGAATACATGACCAAGAAGGTTAAATGTTGTACTCTTTTTTTCTATGTGAGTTTTTACTTAAAGGTTTCTCACGCAAGATTTTTAATGAGACAACATGTGCAACGCAATTAACGAATGCGATGTACTCTTTTCTCCAAGAACCATTTTTTCACTGGATTTTCGGATGGAGTTTTTAATGAGGCATGTGCATATCGTGGTAATCGCCCAAAGGAGAGTGTTGTAAAACATACGGACTCTATCCTAGAAGGAAAGAAAAAAGGAGAAATCTTAATTCTAGTCCGTTTGTACGTGGGCTCTTAACAAATTCTTAGACGTTGGCAGGACTATATATACGTGAGAGCTCTATGTTGTAATCATCAATATTCAGAAAAATAAAGAATAGTCTCAATATCCCTTGTGTCTATGTGTTCTACTTTTATTTACTGTGTTGATCATAAGAGACGGAGAGGGGAAGGTCTTAGGCCCCGTTTAGTTCCTCAAAAACTAAAACTTTTTGCGCAGTAAGTGTCACATCGAATCTTGCGGCACATGCATGGAGTACTAAATGTAGATGAAAAAAAAACTAATTGCACAGTTGAGTGAGAAATCGCGAGACGAAACTTTCGAACATAATTAATCCATAATTAGACACTAATTACCAAATACAAACAAAAATGCTACAGTACCCAAAACCAAAAAATTTCGAATCTAAACGCGCCCTTAACCGCCGGCAACATGCTTTATAGCAAGGGCAACATTTGGCAGGCCATACGTCATCCTCGTGCCTGGTCCTAGTAGTGTAGTGGTGCCTGCTCTGCCCCTCTCACTCTCCTCGGTCAGCTTTGAAAATTGAGTAGAAGCGTGCCTGGTCTAGTAGTGGTGCCTGCTCTGCCCCTCTCACTCTCCTCGGTCAGCTTTGAAAATTGAGTAGAAGCAGGAGAGAGCAACCCTGGTCGTAGACTGGTTCCTACACTTGCTGACGGCACCTGCTTAGAACTATCTATCGCCGGCGAAAATTGCCGTCCCCCTCTTACCATCTTTCTTTCTTTCTTTTTTGACAAGATCAACCCTGTCCCTGTCCCTGTCCCTGCAGGCAAGCGCTTAGGCTTCCTTTTCGCTTCGTCTTCGTCTTGGTGTGCTTGGACGGACTTGATCATCCTCCGACGACCGTCGCTACGATGACTCGATCCACTCACCCGTCACCACCTTCATTTCATTTCTGTACCCCGCAAAGCAGCCAATTCCGAGTCCAAGCGCGCTTGCTTCTGTGCCTGCCCCGGCCGGCGCTTGCTTCAGCCATGGCCATGGCCATGTCCATCGTGGACATCGCCCAAACCTTCATCTTCCTTGTGCTCCTCGCGCACACCGCCTCGGCACAGCTGCCGGCGCCCGCGCCGGCGCCAGACGCCGGCTGCAACGGCATCTTCCTCAGCTACACGCTGCAGGGCCGCGACCAGATCAGGCCTCATGTCGCCGAGCGGAACTCCCAGCCCTACTCCTTCCGCGCCAGCGCCACCGTCGTCAACTCGGGCACCCGCCCGCTCCGCTCCTGGGCGCTGCAGATCACGTTCGTGCACGGCGAGATCCTCGTCGGCGTCGACGGCGCCGTGCTCACCTCGGGCGCCGACCTGCCCTACAACACCACGGCGGGGGACGCTGGCAGGCCCACGTCCTTCACAGGGTACCCGCAGACGGACCTCCTCACCCCGATCGCCACGGCCGGGGACCCCGCCAAGACACAGGCCACCGTCAACCTCGTCGGCACGCTCTTCGCTGGGCCCAAGCCCTACGACCCACTCCCGTCCTTTCTCTCGCTCGCCGACCCCTCCTACACCTGCCCGCCGGCCACCAACGCCACGTCGCCGACGAACCTCACCACCTGCTGCGTGCTCACTTCCGCGGCGGCGGCGGCCGGGGCCGACGACGACAGCGCCACCGACCCGGCGAGAAACTTCCTCCCGCGCCGCACCGGCGACCTGGTCATCACCTACGACGTGCTCCAGTCGCACGAGGCCACCTACCTGGCGCTCGTCACGCTGGAGAACGACGCGCCGCTAGGCCGCCTCGACGGCTGGCAGCTGTCGTGGCGGTGGCAGCGTGAGGAGTTCATCAGCACCATGCGAGGCGCCTACCCGCGGGAGGTCGACACCGCCGGCTGCCTCTACGGTCCCCAGGGCCAGTACTACAAGGGCCTCGACTTCTCCAAGGTGCTCAACTGCGACCGCACGCCCGTCGTCCACGACCTTCCGCCGTCGCGGGCCAACGACGACGACATCGGCAGGATCAACCACTGCTGCAGGAACGGCACCATCCTGCCCAAGTCCATGGACGTCGCGCAGTCCAAGTCGGCGTTCCAGATGGAGGTCTACAAGATGCCGCCCGACCTCAACCGGACCAAGCTCTACCCGCCGACCAGCTTCAACGTCACGGGCTCGTCGCCGCTGAACCCGGAGTACGCGTGCGGGGTGGCCATCCCGGTGAGCCCGTCGGAGTACCCGGACCCCAGCGGGCTCGCGTCGACCACGGTGGCCGTGGCGACGTGGCAGGTGGTGTGCAACATCACCACGTCGACCAAGAAGCCGCCCAGGTGCTGCGTGTCCTTCTCCGCCTTCTACAACGAGTCGGTGGTCCCCTGCCGGACGTGCGCGTGCGGCTGCCCCTCGTCCGCGACCCAACCGGCCGTGTCGGCGACCTGCAGCACCACGGCGCCGGCGATGCTGCTGCCGCCGCAGGCGCTGCTCATGCCGTTCGACCGGCGGGCCAGCGAGGCGCTCACGTGGGCGGACCAGAAGCACCTCGGCGTGCCCAACCCCATGCCCTGCGGCGACTTCTGCGGCGTCAGCATCAACTGGCACGTCGCCACCGACTTCACCGGCGGGTGGAGCGCGCGCCTGACGCTCTTCAACTGGGACGGCACGGACATGCCGGACTGGTTCACGGCCATCGTCATGGACAGGGCGTACGACGGGTTCGACCAGGCATACTCCTTCAACGCCACGCGCGTCGGGAACAGCACCATCTTTGTCAAGGGCTTCCAAGGCTCCAACTTCCTGCTCGGGGAGAGGAACATGAGCGGCGTGGATTACCCGGTGCCCGGGAAGCTGCAGTCCGTCTTCTCCTTCACGAAGAAAACGACCCCCGGCATCGACGTCATCGCCGGTGACGGCTTCCCGTCCAAGGTTATCTTCAACGGCGACGAGTGCGCTATGCCGTTGAGGATTCCGAGCCAGGGGACCAAGCAGGCTGGTGGTGGCGTCATCTCTATGCAATTGTGTTTGCTTGTTTCCAGTTTCCTGTTATTGCTGCTGTAATAATTTTTGCTCATCATAGCTATTCGTCTACGTAATTTTTTATTTATATTATCATATTATTCTTTTCGTTGTTAAAATTGCCTATTATATCGTGAATTCATTCGTGATGCACTTTTGTTTGTTGCAAACAACTACAGGATTATATTTTTTCTCCTCTTCATTCAAGCACATTGCGCAGAGATTTTCTACAGTAATTTTTTGAAACCTCACTCAAGCTATAATTCTTAACATCTCCAAAATCTCAGGTGCTTGAAATTTTGTTGTGGTTCGAGCAACGTGTAATTTTGTTACTGTTTAGCTATAGAAAAAATATAGCTTTACTAAAAAAACATTGTGAATTGTCTCTTTTTTACAAAGAGACCCACCTTTGAAGAACTAAACTGAGTTGTACGAACAACACGTCGCCGGAAAGAATAGCTCCGTCACCCAAAAGAATAGCTTTGTATCTAGAAAAAACCGTCGCCTAAAAGAATAGCTCCATTAAACACTGGAACAAATCTAGGAAAATTCGTTGCCTAAAAGTGTATATAGAAAAAAACATATGGCCTGAAAGAATAGCTCTTTAAATACTAGAATAAATTCAGAAAACTTGTCGCCTCAAAGAATAACTTGTATCCAGAAAAACAAAACACTGGAAGAATGGCTTGTATCCAGAAAAAACCGGTCGCCTCGAAGAATAGATTTGTACCTATCGCCTGAAAGAATAGCTCCATTACATATTGAAATAAATCTAGAAAAATACGAGCACGCGTGTCAAAAAAAATTATTGGAATTCAATTATGCAATAGCTTTCTGAACTTAATTAACTATTTGAATTGAATTTTACCTTCCTTCTTTTTATGTCCCCCTCTTATATGAGGGCTTATCCCCCATACCATATATTTATATATGGAGTATATTTGATATATAACTTGATTTAAATAGAAAATCTTAAAAAATTCTTGAATTATCCCACATTAGAGGACTTAGGTCCCGTTTGGATACCTAGGGATTTTTAAGAATCCGGATAAAAAAATTAGAATCTTAGAATTCCTTTCAAACACCATATGATTCTAGGGAATTATAACACACAGACACAAAATCCAAGAAACATCAGAGGTTATTTTTATTCAGAATCCGGATTTTAGAATCTCATCCAAAGATGATCTTAAATCTGAGTGAGCAAGTTTCGCCATAAGGAACCATCACCATAATAGTTGCTATATAACAGACTAGTTAATTGTGCGTTACATCAACTCTGTGCCACGGCGGTTCCCAAGCGAGAGAGAGGAAAACTCACAAATGCTTTGCAGTCCGGGCGAGATGTCGAAATGAGCCTTCCTTCCACTATGGACGAGTTGGTCTTGTCTTTGTCGAATTTTTTTCCGCGGAAGGGCTATCTTGATTTGTACTTCGGTGTAGAAAGAAGGAGGTGACGACCGGAGGGCTCCTGCGGGAGATTTCCCTTTATTCGTCCTCGGGCCCGACGAGGTCGTCTCCTTCCTCGCCTTCCATGAGCGCGGGTTAGGATACCCCACGCACTGGTTCCTGCGCGGGCTCCTCAATGATTGGGGTCTGGAGCTGCAGCACCTCAATCCAACTAGTGTGTTGCATGTTTCCAGATTCATCACCGTGTGCGAGGCCTTCCTCGGGATGGAGCCGTACGTGGACTTCTTTCGGTGAATCTTCACCGGGCGAGCTTTGTCGGTAGGGGGGCGATCGGCATTAGTGAGTGTGATCACATTTAGGACCACACAGGACGCCATATCGAATCGGTTATAGGGGGCTTCGCCCATTTAGGAAGTGCTAACAAAAAATTTGAAAATATGCTAGCGCGTCGGGCTCCTACCCCGCGTACACCCCCTGCGACTCCAACCAGGGGGTGGCATGGGGAATGGTTCTACATTAGGAACCTGGTGGAGGCGCCGTTCTCGTCGTTCACCAGAAGGAGACCGGAGAGGCGGGAGAGCTGGTCATGGGGCCCCTCCACGCGAACAAACCTTGTCCGGAGATCATCGGGCGGAGCTCCTTGACCGTTAGCTGCTCAAAAGATGGCCTCGACGGGGTGTGGGATGTTCCACACCTTCTTCCACCCCCGTCGGGTCGCTATTTCGTGGGGGGCTGAAAAGGACGTGGCCGATGTTGCTATACTAACCTTGTGAGCCGACGGACCCCATCATACCACGCGTCAGATTGGGAGTGAATCAAGTGCATTGGAGTTGGCAAAGGATGAAGTCTGGAGCCGACTCGACCGGTGTCTTTTGACCTGTGAGGCCTAGGAGACCGTCAAGTGAATTGGTACTCGTGACTTATGACTTATGTGATACTCATCTTGAAAGCCCGGACCTCTCCATGCCAGGAAGCTATCCAATCTGGTACATCCTCCTCTCCTTATTCCGTGTAGTTTGACTTCAAGTCGTCCGCTTTGTAGGGACTTACCGGTTATAAATCCCGGTCGCACCACCCGAAGGGGCCGGAGGGCGTGGCTTAGCATGTGGCCTGAAGGAGGTGGTGGACGACTGGAAGAAGAAGAGAGCTGAGAAGGCTCGGAGGACGCACCAGAAGGAGAAGGATATCGCCCAACGCGTGCGGGTCGAAGAGAATAGGAGCGACATCGAGACGGAGCTCGAGTCGAAGGACCCCATGGAGATGGGTGATGACGTGATCTCCTCCAAGGAGGAGGGAGGCCGGGAGGTCGCGACTTCGGTGGAGCGTCGTGAGCCTACGGCCACGTCTGCCGGCGATGGGTGTGAGGCAGAGAGGCGTGGCGATGTTCCCATGCCAAGGAAGCACGCCACGAGCTCGAACGCCGTCGGTGAGTGGGAGGCGAAGCGAACGCGGTAGCCGCGCCCTTCGGAGGCATCACTGGCCTTGTCCCCACCTGCTCTGGGCGTGGTGGGGCAGGCCAGGCGGTCGGAGGAGCGGGCTCACACCCGCGTATCTTCGGGGCCGGCGCCGACGTGTGACCCGCAGCGGGGGGATGCCTTGCCAGCTGCTCCGGTCGGCGCGCCTTGAGCCGGCAGTCGTGGCAACTCGTGGGCTGATCGGGAGCCAGTCGGGACGACTCCCCCCTGGTCGAGGTGAGGGGGCATGGCTCGCGACCTGCGAGTGGCCCTCGTCCGACGGGCCTGTTGCCAGCGGGTTGGGGCTTCAGAGCCCTGCCGCTTGCGTCCCGGTATGTATTCTTTGTTTCTTTTCTCGATCTCATAGTTGAGTTTTTTGAGTGCGACTGACCTGTATTTTTTCGACAGTGGCCAGATACTGCCGGGGTTGAGCATCACCCCGCCTCCTAGGCAGGAGGAGTGGAGGCCCACTTTGCAGCGCGTTGCGATGAGCGGCGACGAGAGCAGGGTGGTGGCGATGCATCCTTTTCCTTCGAGGGTGGTGCCTTCCTGGCCGGTCGCAAGTATGGTGGCAGCGGTAGCGGAGGTGATGGCGGCGATCCCGACACCGACGACGGAGGCTGGGTCGGAGGTGACCCTCACGATCCCTCCTGCACCTGCAGCGGCGGAAGAGAGGGGGAAGACGGGGCTCCCGGCCTTGCCTGGCGGAGGGACGCGAGCTCGCCCTCCTGGTCGGAGCTGTCGGCGTCGGAAGGCAACGCAGCCAGGCCAGAGGCAGAACAACATCCGGTGGGTCGCGAGGTCGAGGAGGTGGAGAACCCTTGCCCGGTGAGGTGGGCACTAGGGTGGAGCCACCGGCTATCCTGCTGTCGCAGGAGCTGGCGGTGGTCTGGTCGTCGGCCGGGCCTTCTAGCGGGTCGGGGACGACCACCGACCTAGTATGGCCTAGCCCCGGTGACCCGCGGAAGGTTCGGTTCATCCTTCGGGATGAGCAGGAGGTGCAGCTCTAGGATGTTCTTGGGGGAGAGGACTCACCATGGAGTCCGATCTCGCCCAAACCAGGGTGAAGCTTGAGGAGGCCTTAGAGCGGGTCAAGTCCGTCCAGCAGGCGGTTACGATCAACCTACCCTGCATCGTGGAGGTAAGTCTTCTGCGTTCATCCTTGACTCCTTGGTCTTTCACCGGTTGTCTCAGCATGCCTGCTTCTTGCTTTGCATGGATTGGAGGTGATGTCGAGCCGCAAGTCCCGTTTTCTCTGGGAGGAGCATGCTCGGATGGAGCAGGAGGCCATGGCGTTGTGGCAGGTCGCCGAGCTCAAGCGCCAGCTGGAGTTCGCTCGGGTGGCGGAACTGCTCATGGTGGAGCGGGCGTCTGCCGTTGAGCGAGGACTTGACGCGGCGAAGGTCCGCCAGGCGGAGACTGAGGCAGCGCTCCAGAAGTCCCTAGCGGAGGCTGAGACGGCACTCTAGAGTTCCCTAGAGGCCCTGGAGTTAGAGCGGAAGGCCCGATCGGAGGTCGATCAGGAAGTGCTCGCACTCTGGGGCTGGGTGCTTGGGACGGAGGAGTTGAACGCCCGGTTGCGCAAGCAAGTGACTCGGCAGGAGGAAGGACTCTCCATCCTCGAGAACACCCGCCTCGGTATGTATTTGTTCCATCTTTAACGTCTTGGTTTTTTCCTTTAGCTTGCTTCTGAGCTTGTCGTCCTTCTTCTAGAACTGGGCGGAAAGGTTGGTTCACTGGAACGGGACCTGGAGACGGCCAAGTCGACGATCGGCCAGAGCGTATAGGCGCTAGCCAAGTCCCTTGAGGAGCGATGTGCTCTCGAGGGGGAGCTCAACTAGCTCCGCAACGTCGCCCAGGTCGTCGTCTCGGAGGTGTTCGGGTCGGTGCCAAGCACCAGCACGCCTGCCATCCGACTGGCGGAGGTCCCGATGAGGTTCGGACCCTCATCTCCGACGAGATGTTCTATGGAACATCGAGGGTGCTGACTTCGGTGGCGACGCACCACCCAGACCTAGACTTCGCCGCCATCTATAGCGGGTACGTCGACGGCTGGAGCCCGGACGCCATCCATGCGCTCAGGGAGAGCTTGCTGCCACACGCACAGTTGGTGGCAGAGCAAGTCTCCGCGTAATGGATGATGGAGGCTCGCTGTGCGAACGCAGCTGAAGGCGTGGG